TCATTTTCAAGAGTATTTTTCTGCAAAGTACATTAACAAACTCAACTAAAGCTGGTTATCTGGTATGGAAAAGATGTAGTTTAGAAAAGCTTTTCGGAATTCTTATTCAGTTAGCACTATCAGACAGTGACAATAACCTTTCATTTTTGTCAATACTGTTAAGAATTATAATGTAAATGTTCGTGAAACGCGGTTATTCACGACAGTCTTTGTAAAATACAGATCGGATACATTGCTCGTCTGTTTGAGCGTTAGCTCGAAAATCTGAATTTCACGAGATAGTCTCCTGAAATTATATGGAGTAGTTCCCTTAATACTAGAGATTTTTAGCATCTTATCAATAAATTCATGGGCTGTGATGTTCTTCTGACCGAATGATTGCTCGAGAAGATCTAACGCCTTACCATAGCCTTCTTCTGGTTCGAGAAATGCACAATGAACAATAATAGCCTTGGCTTCACCATCACAATAGTTCAACATAGATCGACTTCTTATACATTCACCGAAACAGCCTTCGAAATTTTGGATGAAACTATAATAATCCATAGAATTATCACCAAACCTTATGATCTAACTTTTTGGTAGGTCCAAAGCTTTAGATATAATTGCTGTCGAGTCCTTCTCATGAGGAAGACCGACTGTATGTGAGACAGATGTAGACTCGTACGACACCATCTTGTCAGCCGCAACTTCACTACAATGTTCTCTTCGTTTTAATCGTGAATTTTTCAATTCAATTTCTCTTTCTGTCTGAGCTTAGCGTGCTTTAACTAATTTTAACTATAACAGCGGATCCGCTCGGTAGCTGTTTGCTTCAAACTGGTCATCAGTACGAGTTTCTGAATAGTGGGAAGACAATTCAGGAATCTGGTCAGTTTTACGATTCACCGTAAACACTTAACAAAACTCGACGTATGAATTTCTGGAGAGTTACTGATCAAAAATTTGTGTAATTTAATTTGTTCTACCGATATTCTACGGGAAGTGTAAGTGCTATACTGAAAACACAGAATCTATGTGAAAGCTACAGTCAGAACGAAGATAACTTGGCTTTAAGAGTTATCTGTTTTCAAAGGCAATAGCAGAAAGACAGTTCTATTGATACACTAATTGAGGGAATATTAGTCAAAAAGCGAAGCGCACAAAATTGTAAGATCCATTTCGAATGCTTTGTGTGTTTGTGAAAATCCCTCCATGTATATACTTGCACTTTGTTCCTATTGATCCTCTTAGTTGTACATTGTTAACCTTTTGGCTACATTTGAATTGTTAGTATTTGTATTTTATTATAGTTTTCGTTTTTACTACACCTTCACTAATTCCGCATGTTTCTTCCCGAACTGCACTTATGTTGTTTTACTTTATACTAAGTCTGGGCCGCAGCCATTTTGGTTTATCCTTGCTTTTGATTGCTTGACCTGTGTTGACTGGAATTGTGCATTTTGGTTGTGAATTGAAGCACTCTTCCAGAATTGAAAACACTCTGTGTTATAGAGCGACCAATTATTACCTTTTGAACGAATCTGTACGTGATCTATCCAGACAGGATAGATTAACAGTTATTTGCGGTGATTGGTAATTTTCTTGCATCGTTTATCAACTTTCTTATTTATTGTAGTTTAGATTTGATCAATTGAACAATTATTGGTTGGATAGCTGAGTGGTTATATTTGTTTAGGTAATAATGTACGCTTAAATTTATGATAAATTATAGAACCGTCATCTTACCCAATTACTTTGTTTTGGTTTCAATCGGGCGAGGGCGCGTATCTAACTCATCCAGACAGCTGTCCTTCACTCCAAACCGTAGTTTGGATCTTACAACATACCAACCACTATTGTGTGCCTTATCAGAATGAATAGAAGATATGAGTCACAGTCACACTAATATGACAGGATAATAATGTCTTCCAACTGGTAGATCACATGTATCAGGGATAGTCTACAGACAAATCAGGCCAGTTGGCATGATAATCGTTTAAGCAACGATTTGGTTGGTTGGTTGTAGACATATCTAACAGTAAGAACATCGACATTCTCCATCTTTAATGAAACATGTCGGTAGACAGAATTCTCATGTCTTTTTGTTGGTCTTGTGAGTAGAATCCATATCAACAACTTCTAGAAATTATTTACGCAATGAGAGTTGATCGTAGCTTATAAAGCACACTATTTGCGAGTCCGTTAGCGTACAAAAATTCTGGCAGTTTATCTTTCTGTTCTAAGAAACTGAAAACTTTCAGTCAAGTACCACGGCCGGAAAATACAACAGTACGTGAACATACGAGAACCCTGAAATCGTACTAGTCCGTATGCACACAAGAGACCACAAGTCTTCAAATATGGAATCCTTGCGTCGTTCAAGAACGTAGAAATCAACTTCAGGCAGATATGAAAGTCGATTGCTTTTCTTTCGTTTCGCGAACGGAAATCTATTTCAAATTTCACCTTGACGTATGATATTCGAAGGTGATAGTGGGTTATTTATTCACAAGGTTGGGCGTTGGGTGGCCCATCGTTATATATAGCTTGACCACACTAAGTTGCATTGAGCATTTTGGAAACTCCCAACCGATCAATCGATCAGTTTAGAAAAAATATGAATTTATTAAGCGTTCGACTTCATGGGATGCTTTTTTGATTGTCTATTAGAGAGGCCCATGTAGCGTGTAGCAGAGGGTAATTACTTCGACTGACTTGATGTATCCGATATCTTTGATTCGAACTTTTCATTCCAACTGTTATTACGACTGTTTTTGGTAAATTTTATGGTACTACGCTGTGTTGTGAATTCATTATATACAATAATGAAATAAAAGGTAACGTTCGGCATAATTCGTCTGTGTCTTTGGGAATCCAGTTTCTTGGCTTCGAGTTTATATGTATAAATGAGATAAGGAGTAAGAAGTGACGTAGAAATAACATTTCAATCTTCTGTCTGTCCAGGAAGCATATGCAACCAAAAGTGTTCATGCAGCATCCTTGTGGGGGGGGGAGAACATATGCCTTACGGAGAATCATTTAGCAATTTTTTAAAGTAGAAGTTATGACCCATAAACTGAATAAGTCTATGCTTTAAGAGATCTGTGATGTGGCTTGCTTGGTAAATAAACGATTAATAGAGTATATCACACTCAAATTGAAGATGCCGTGTAGTTGTCAAAGGGATAGATAGAATAGATCAGGCCCGCTACAGACCGGCCCCATTGCTCTCAATACTGTTGAAAGTATTGTAACGTGTGAGTGACTGCAGGGTTTGGATACGCAGCGTTTATTTATCGATCGCGATCTGTGACAGTGACACGGAAAACACGTACGGACGACCTAGTGCCCTGATTGGCCCTGCTTCGCTGTCTATCCCAGCCAGTTGAATCAAGAACACAAGTCACAGCCTCTGAGTTATGAATCATTATATTTCAAACATACTTTGTTTATATACCAATCAAGCATACCGCATCGTACCATAAAATAGAAAACAACATTTTGTACAATATTTAACAAGTGAACAAATATCGACCAATAGGAAATGTACATTTAAGGTCCAAGGACACCATTGGACTTAACATGATAATTATTGGTCTCTTTTTCCGACTATCCTAACAGAAAGTAATGGAAAAACTGGTAAAAGTGCAAACGAATGAATGCATGGATAAAATAACATCAGGAAAGGCAAGTCCTTTGCGTTCAGTCAACTCACATAACACAAAATCTAGACGACCTGTTAGGACAATAAGATACTGGTTCATATATTATCCATCGAACTTGCAAATGTCTGAATATCAGGAGTTCCACAAGAAACAATCTTCCGTCTACTCCTGTTTCGAATTGATTGCAGACGACCTATTAGATATAATTGGCTCGAAATAACATGTTATGAAAATTCTAATCTATGGGACATGATTTAAATACAACCTCTATGAAAACCCGCTCTTGCTGCAGCGTCGTTCGTTGTTTTCCTTAAAATATCATCACTACTCCACTATGAAATGCACATTGTTGTTTTGCCGTCACTCTTCGAAAGAGATATAAATCTCTTAAAACAAGTACCTAGTGGGTTATAGGAGCAAACCAAAAATCATAAGGAAACAGACTTCAGCACCCGAGATTACTATCGCTGATTTATAGGAGAATAAGGGCTGATCTGCTAACGTCATATAAAACACCAAGTGTAACAAGTCAACCCGATATGAACATCACTACCACGCCTCTCAAAACAAACCCTGTAAAAGTGCACATCATGGCAAGAACAACCAGATACACTATCACGTTTCCTCAGCTCCATCAGTAGATGGCTTTAAAAGAAGATTCGGCAACACACTCACTCATGAATCACCACCTCTCGTTTGGACTATCTGTGCCTGATGACTCATAAATTACCCACTATTATCATCACCCTATACCAGTGACCACTTCTTATCTAGCTTATTATCATCTGCGTTGCCGCCATTATTTTTAAACTTCCGCCTTATCGTATATTCTCAAGTACGTCTCTAATTAAAATGTTGCACAAACTTCAACTTACCTAAAAGACATCTCACTGAATTTCAATACACTTCTTTACATTAATTATGTGTATATGTATGTGACTATCGGTTGATTTACTATTTGTCGAAATACTTTGTGTTGAAGATTCTATGTTGTACCAAATACATAATATCGTTTAATGAGTGAGCATAAAGAAATCGATGCGTCAATACAACATCGTTACAGGAATTTTAGATTTTAGATATCGTATTAATAACAATACGAATATAATTGGGAGGATTAACATATGTGAGAAAGTTGTCTGGTAGATATTGGAGATTGTATACTAATCGCTGTTGAACGCGCTAACAATAAAAGGTTAATTTGTTTTCGCTCCACGTTCATATTTCATGCATCAACCTATCTGAATATCATTGCTTGAAATGTATAAAAACCCCAATATCAAGTGATTTGACGTCTGATGATGGAATGACGTATGTTTGATGAATGAAGTACAACACACTGTAGAGTGATTCATGGATCAATCTATAGAAGATGTCAAGACTCTGACTATTAGGGTGATCGACCATATGTGTAAAATCCCCTCAGACCAAGGATATAGTTCAAATGAGTTCAAATCAATCATTCACCTTTTCGACAGGAGTTTTTTTGCCATCGAGAATTCTAGAAACGTAGTGGAAGATTATCGCCTTTGGATAGCTACAAAAGTGTTATCTAGCGGTGAATACCCCTACCGTCTTACTCAGATCTTTAAAAACTTGGGAGAATATTCCTTCGGATCTCTGAGTGTTGGGAAAGAATCCTACAATGAACAGTACATTGAATTGCTATCATCATTTCAGTTGACTCTGTGCAATTATCTTGAACTAAGTGAATTACTGGCAGAGAAAATGTCAATGCAAGATGCTTATTTGAAGGAAATATATCGTATCCATCAAGCCATATTGTCATACGACGGAATTTGTGCTGAAGAAAAGGTAAGAAATTCAAGCTAAATTTAATTTGGGATTATTCCTTAGAAAATCACGTTGGTGGTAGAAATAATTGTAAAAACCCTTTACAACATGCTGCAACACGAAAGCTCAATAATACGTTTTGCCTTCAAAAAGCATAATCTCATAGATATTGTTACACATTATTCAAAGTCCACGAATACTAATTTGCAAGTACGATAATAACTGATATCCATATTTTTTAGATAGCTTCTTATCTAAGCTTAGCGTACAATTATGATGAAGATCAGCTAATACCTGGGGATAACGAAAATATAATTTTTTTGGTAAATATGCTCGCTTCTGCTCTTGATAAACCCTCAACAAGGATATATGGTTACTCATGTGAAGAAATCTTAAAAGGTTAGTTCCAGTTACATGTTTTATTTACTTTAGTTGTCGTCATATTGTTCACAGTTAAAAAAACCTAATTAAGCACCTTGGACGGCTTCGTTGACAATGGAGGCGCAAACTCTTACTTCTGTATTTGAAGAAGTCATATAAAAACCCTTTGTTTCCCCATTTCATACGTATATTTTACTTTTCCTCAGTCTCTTACCCACAGGTTTTGTAAAGAAGAAGAAACTGAACAGGTTTTTGACTTTTGAGAGCTGTTTTACTGAAAACCTGATCTCAGCAGTTATTTCAGATATCATCTCGACAAGTCTTTTTATCTCACTTGAATACAGTGTGTAAAGAGGTCTTCATGAAACACTTTATTATTTAGTGGTTTTTCTTACAGGAAGTCAAACATTTCCATTGACCTGCAGTATTGTATTTCATGATCACTATTTCATACGACAGGCCTTTCAACGAAATGCTATCGACTCTGTAACTGATCCCCTACACTTGATGATCATTGTTTGGTAGGCTGCTTTGAACATTTTTTGATTGCTGTCTGTTACATGGTCGATACTTACTTTACAGAGTTCCTAAAAGCTATTCAATAATAACTAGTTGTAAAATTTCTGAGTCAAATATTGTAGCTCAGTTATGATACAAGGAATACTGTTGAATGTTACAATTAACAAGCCGTCCTGGTACGAATAAGATTCTATGAAACTAAAAAACGGTAGGTTCAACAAACGAATGTCACAATTTTAATAATTCATAGACAGTTAAAGAGAAATCAGATGGTAAATCAGAACGGTTTCATGCATCATAAATAAACCAAGATTCCATGCATAACGCGACATAAATAAACTCGAGCCATTTGACCAAAAGGTAACGGTGATATTTGCTAAAAGACTAAAATAAACCACTAATTATCCAAGTATTTTAGATCACTCAAAAACAGGTTGTCGAAATTACAGCGACGATGCCTTTAATCACCCATAGAGCTTTTAAAAATAGAATTCGGCCACTCATAAATACCATCACAAAAGTTGCTCAATCTAACTGTGTAGTGCTTTCTTTCTTCTTTGGCACATTTATCTTTTCGATCAGGGTTTTTTATCAGTTGTTACTTTCAGTAATTGTCAATCAGGAACAATATCACAGCCTTCTTTGTGTTTATGTTAGATGCATCAAGTTTCAAACATAACGACGTTTTTTCATGATTTTTGGCCAATTGTCTATAAGGTTCTGTTTAGTCTTGAATTAAATCATTGTCTTTTAATTCCTGTTTGGGGATAAATCGTCACTGTGAGCACCAATACTGACATGCAGATATACTGGGTTGATATGCCTAATGTGAGATAAAAAAGGGCAAACTGAATAACACTTCTGTCTGCAATTTATATGTTATAAAAGCAAAAATCTGTTGGAATTTTGGCTCAGAAGCCCACCTCACAAAATTCATCAAAACGTTTAGTTGAACTACAGACTTTTACAATGAGTAATTCATAATTGTGTCATTAATTTGATCAACGTCAAAATCAATGCAAGTTTCCCTAGATAATATTAGAACAACATTCAAAAATATATATAATACAACGACGAACAGTCTTTTGGTGTAAATAAGGTTGAATTCACTATCACCGTAAAAGTTTTTTTGAAACGACACTCACCAGTTACCAATAAAGGAGTCAGTTATTGCTATTGGGTGATCGATTTGTCAGTTTCACTTTGAGGACAAAATTTAGGCCTTCCAAATATAGACAATCGGTGTTCCTTCTTTTATTATTTTTATAGGTTTGAGACTATTGGCATCTAGTGATCAAAACAGACAGTTCATATGCCAGTCGGCTATACTGCAAAGCATCCAGTGCACTATAAAAACACTGAAAGGAAAAGTATTAGAAGAAGTTATACTTTTTCTATTGAAATTAACACTCAACTCTGGAATAAGAGACAGAATAAGAAGAGACTTTGGGGCCGTATTGAAGGATTTAGACATATCTTTCAAAGCGGAAGAGTCTGAAACCTCAAACAACATAAAGAAGGCACTTGATAGCATTTTATGGCAGATGAGTCAAGGTTAGTATATATATAGACAATCAGATATTAAACCAGTACTTTTTGTAAATGTAAAATTCTATGTTATTTAACTAACACAAATGGTTTTCTGAAAAGTGAATGCAGTACATTTATCTAGTATATATACCCCACTTATCGCTCAATCAAAAGTAATTCACAAAAGTTACTCGATACTCAGAAATAGAAAGGTGTTCATAAAATTTCATTCTCTTGAGTTATCGACAAGTCATAAAAAAATGTAGACTTGCAAAGATTCTGCGTCAGCATTGTAACAAATGCAAATTAGTTTTACCAAATAAATTCAATGAAATTGACTAAAAAACTCAATAAAACGAGGATATGATTTTTCCAACCATAATCTAACATTTTCCCATAAAAATTCCACTATTCATCATAAAGTGACTTTACTAACGACATTAAAGCAAATACTCAATGGTAAATAATTCTTTGAATTTCCCATCTGGATATATCGAAAATATATTCATTATTAACTCTCCATCGAATGTTCATATTATTTAAAATGATCAAGTCCAACCTTGGTATTGATACCAATAATCAACAGATTTTGAATATGACATACCTATCTATAAATTAGAAATAAGTATCAGTCGTTATTACTATATATTTGGGAATAATATTCATTATTTTCAAATGAATAATATTTCTCAATATGGAAGTTGTTGGATGTGATGTCTTGGGAACAAGGAACAGCTGATTCATACTAGTATATAACTCATCACTAGCGTGCATCCACGACTTATCACCGGAGATCGAGCCCAGAACCTTTGGTCTTGAGTAAGACTATTTAACCCTTAAACCATTGATCCAGGACTCAATAATCTTTATGTCTAACTTTAGTCAATCCGTGATATTGTTCGACCATCTTCCATTTTTTCGAAGCACTATCTTCACAACCAACATAACTGTTTAACTAAGATTGGTTTGGAACTTAAGTAGTAAAACACATCGTCAGAAGTTTTCAACCTAAGATCCCATTCTTAAACAGTCACAGAAAACAACCAGGCGTAATGTTATCTGGAATATAGTGAATTCTCTATTTAAATTGTCAAAATATTAGTGAGTGTATAGTAGTAACTTATTAGAATGTGCGCGTTCTTCGTCTTTGAGATGCCAAGGAAAATTGTCAGAACTTAGTTAAATGTATTGCATAATCAATATGTGAACTAAGCAACACAAAGCCTATATAAACATTTAGCTGGAATATAATTTATTTCAGTGATCGCTAGACATATGTTTCCCAACTTCACTAGCAAAAGGAAGAGATATTTATGGATTTCTATTGTTTATTAGGAATCTTTTGAAAAACAAAATCAGACATTTTTATGTAGTTGCCCGTAATTGAAATAATTATTTTGTAGCAGCTCCAGTAAAGTCTACTACTCTGATTGTAAATTTGATAGTTGGAAGTATGTATATCACAAAAAAGATTTCAAATTTTCCTATGATAAAAGATTAAACTACATGATATATCTTGTGAAATCCTATAAAAACCCACTTTGATTTGCCTTATTTTATTTCTATATGTGACTAATTTCTTGCCGCTCAGCTTGTATCTATTACTACATGTTTATTTTTATGTTTTATTTTTCATATATCGTGACGGACGTTTCAATGTATTATGAATACATTGTTTAGACCACATATAATTACCTACTTCAGCAAAATATGACGTCTTAAATACGTTTCCTCTGATAGTAGAAAATAGTTTATCTTTACAACAGGTTCTTAACGAGATAGACTGTTCACTTCCTAACCTTCAACTGTTTCATATTTAACCAATGATCATTTGCGTTTAACACTGATCTTTTTCTATTCTTATTTTTCTGGTTACTTATATGGTATCATCCCCAATTGCTTCGTTACTGTAATTTATTTAAATTTTGTATACTAATTTGAAAATACTGTAATTTAAACCATTATATTTTTGCCCCTAGGTTATTACTATTTTAGCTCAGTTTCATCAATCAGGTGATTAGAATGTTGTTGTGGGCGATTAAAAGTTTGTATTTGTTTTTCTATAATAGCTAGGGAGTTTTGCCCGTCGAGAGCCTACCATTAACAACGAATTAGGAGTTAGAAGCATAGACTGCTCATTAGAGATCTCCTTTCAATAAGCTCTAAATCAAAGACAGTATAACCAGTGATATCTTGCGTGACAGAATAATCAGAGGTGATATAAGAAAGATTTATTTAAATAAACTTTGTGATTTTTCAGTCGACTTATTGTACTTACTTACTTATTCCTGTAACCCCTCGTGGAGGAGCATAGGCCGCTCACCAGCACTATCCACCCAACTATATCCTGGGCAATCCTTTCCAGTTTATAAGAGTTTAGAATAATCAGCATATAACTGAAAACAATATCATTTTGATATACATTTATGTAGTCTTCATTGATGCAGAATTTCTCCTGACATTTTATTATTTTAATTCTATAATTTAGATAAAAATTCACTAGATTATGAATCCAACTTAAATTCTTCTACGCAACCTGAACATTTAATGATAAGTTATAGTCATAAACAGAAAGAAATTGCAATAAATCTTACAAAACATTTAAAAGAAAAAGGATATAAGGTTAGTGAATTTTTTTTAAAAAACATCTGAAAACTTTACATTATTCGACTGTACTAATAAAAATTAACAATAAAATTGTGATTTCTTTCATCATTGTTGAAAAATGTTCCTGTTTTTATGTATTCTCATAACAGTTTATATTCTATTCAATACCTACTTACTTACGCCTGTTATTCGTCGTGGAGGAGCATAGGCCGCTCACCAGCACTCTCCACCCAACCCTGTACTATGCAATCCTTCCCAGTTCTTTCCAGTTGCTTTTCATCCTTTTCATATCTGCTTCCGATTCACGACGTCATGTGTTCTTTGACCTTCTTCTTCTCCGTTTCCCTTCACGAGTTCAAGTCAGAGTTTGCCTCGTGATGCAGTTTGGTGACTTCCGTAATGTATGTCCTATTCACTTCCAACTTTTTTTTCTTAATTTCCTCTTCAGCTGGAAGCTGGTTTGTTCTCTCCCACAGAAGGCTGTTGCTGATGGTACCCGGTCAATAAATGTTGAGCAAACAACTGTTCATAAATACTTGTACCTTTTTGATGATGGTCACGGTTTTACTCTTGTGATTTGTTGCATGGTAAGAACCGTCGACCAAGAATCGAAGTTTTCTTTGGCATCCCTACACACAGGGCTTAAAACTCAGCCTGTAGCTGTCCTACAGTTACTGCCGGCCTCAAGCTCAGGTAAAGAGGGAGGGTTGGGCATGAGGTCAGAAACCACATCCTGTAGAAAAAATCTTGCTAAGTGAACGTCAACCAGATTCTATACAATAGATTAGTAATATTTAAATGTCATTATTAACATTGCCCAAAATTGAAATATGAGTATTCTCCTTTTTTATATTCTTTGACATCTGAAATCATTCATAACTAACGTAAATTAAGTATACTCGAAATACTTGGTCGAATGTCAACATTAATTCTTTCTATAATTTCATATTATTCATTAAATACAATATAATTTATAATTCAGCTATTTATGTAATGTATAAATGTGGTGATTAAATAAATAAATAAAATAAAACTTCTATTTATTAAAACAAAACACAATTTTCACAATTTGATTTGCATTCAAAACTCAAAAATTGTTTTTGGTAGAGTTTTATTCTCTGAGCTCGATGGTTTGGTCATGGAGCTTTCATCATTCTTCTGAACGACATCATCAGCACAAACTTCAGGTAGAAGTGAAGTGTTCTAATTTCTCCATATGTGTTTCACAGCTTGTTCTGTGCACTTCGATGTTGATTGGTTCTTATTGACCTTAAATTTGTCATTGTTTACTTCTTTGTTTTGGTTATGTCTCCCATTGGTTTGATTTTTGTTCCTATATTTGTGTTACAAGTTTTCTCCACCATCTCGAAAATTGTTTATTTTAAATTATAAATAAGATGAAAAGTTTGTAAACTTGTTGTTTCCCGAGAATTGTAATAAGAATTGGCATCATCTAGACTATCGTTAAAATTGAAAAAATTCTGTTAATTTGAGATTTTTCAACAGTACATGCATTGACTTCAAGTCTCATAAAGAGTGTATTACTTTCAGAACATCTCGTTAAATTCAACGACAATATTATATCTATCAATTTATGATATTGTAAGACCAATATATAGTTGTCACCTACTTTAGATATATGTTAGCAGCAGAACTTATGAAACAAACGTAAAAACCTTTTTCTCGAAAGGCGTAACAGAACGTCATTAACTGTTAGGTTATTAAAAAGAGAGTTAACACAGTAGTAAACGAGAACATACAATTGGGAACAACCAAATGTGTTTGAATATGAAATTACAGAACATCTTAATAAAATTTGACAACCATACAATAAATACTTCATTTTCAAAATATCAATCAATTGTCTGAGAATTGATTGTTCCTTCGTTTGCACACCTATCATTCTCTGTTCTCTTTCTCTTTTCTTTGATCTTCTTAACCGTCTGCCTCCAGGCATTTCACTTTCGATTGATGACACGTACAACTTATACCTATCGACATCAGTAGCACACATCACAACACTACATGTTTGAAAAATCAACGTTAATAAACGCTTACCTATTCATTTAAATGATGAAAACCACTAGTAATTTCCCATTGTTATTGATAGTTATTTAGAAATGTCTTTCTATAAGTGTTGATGTTTTCATTGTATCAGGTATGGTTTGATCAAGACAATCTGAAATATGCTGCAAAAACATTTAGAAGTATGGCTGAAGCCATAGAAAGATCTTATGCTGTATGTATTATATATTCCGAAAATTATAAAAATAGCGAATATGCTGAAATGGGTAAGTGGAATTAATTTTAAAAAATAAACAAATGCAATGAGTACAGTTCGATGTATTTTTCCTTGAACACTAATATTATCCGATTGGTTAAACCAAGATCCATTGGTTAATACTTTTACCTTTTGATTGGACAGTTGAATGTGGACAATCCTTAACACTTTATAACAATTCTTATTGAAAATAACATATAACTATTACATAATGTGCATTAAAATATGAGATTGATACATCAATATAATACTTACCAATGATATACCAAAAAACTATTATTCAGGTTACTACAATTATTACGATTAGTGTTTTAGAATTTAAACCATTATAATCATCTGTATATCGATAATTGTGAATATTTCTTTAATAGCTATAGTGTTTCTACCAGTAATTGTCTTTAGAGCACATCATTGTACGTAATCTACCCGATGAAACTTTGTTTAATGGTCACGGCAACTTTATATGATTTGAAGAATATGCATTGGTTACAAGCTACATATTTTAAACGCTCATACTACCTTCCATTTCCATTGAACCAAATATTTTTGGAAGCCATCGTAAATCAGAATTTACAGTTATTTATCGTTTTACACTCAATTAAAACCACGTTCTTAAATTTTTGAAATCGTTCCTCAAGTGCCGCTTATGTCCACAGTAACTGCCAGTACTTACGGATGTTTCTTTTCAAGGAATTAACAGACCTCATTATCAAGTACATGTATTAAAGAGAATATCTTACTACCAAAGTATATCTAGTTACGAAATTCTTAAAAATTGGTATCATCATTTTCATAATTGTTCAACCTAGAATAAATTACTCCATTCATTTCTCTAAAGATAGTTGTAAATAGTTTACATCAACTCAAGCATTTACAAAACAATGTAAAAAACTTTGTGTTTGTTCAGTTGTAATAGCACTTACTATTAGTAACAATATAATGAGCACACAAATAAACTCAATTTTAACATCTCAAATGTATTGGTTCCTAAATGATCTACGAAATACAAATCCAATATTTTTAATGTTTTCATTAAGTTGTGGTCCTGTTTATTTTGAGTCGAAGATTTTGTAAATGTCCACGTCATTAAGTTATACAGTAAAACCGTAATTTTGCTCCCCAGTTATTCCTTGTCATAATAATCTTTCATTGCGTGCTTGCACCAGTTATTTGGATTTGTGTGAAATCACTACCCAACCACAGTCAAGTCCGACAATTCGCCAAAAGTATTCCATAATATAAGCAATCTTTTGACTGTTTTAACAAAAATTCGTTTCACAAAAAATCTAATCGATTTTTACATTTGGCTATTAGTTATTTCAACATATATTTAAAGCATGATATTATGGATTAAGTTTGATATAACAACTGTAGAAATCACAAGGCAATAGACACTTGTTTTGACGTAGTATGAGACACCTTGGAAGTGAGCATCCACAACTTCAGCAAAGATATGAGCCAGGACCTTCAGACCTTGTCTAGTTACCATTGTAGCGAACAAGAACACCAGTGGGGACAATCGAATGTATTTGTCACAAAATTAGAGGACTTGTCAATAAAATTTTACAATCGAATAGTAAATACATAATTTGCAAAATGTCCATCCGTTATCTCATAATGACTCAGACTTCATTGTTCTTGCATTTTCATACAAATAACATTCTGTTTCCATTCTTTACTGTTCGATCCTGTTGTTTCTCTGCTGCCAGACCTTCTGTTCACGACTAATATCATCTACTACTTATGTCAATATAAGTAGCACACACCACACCATCAGCAGGAATCATATAAAATCTTATCAACTATATTTTTCGATTAGACGGCTGAAGCATAAATTTGGTTACTATTTACATTTGAAATGTTATTAAATTGCCAAAATTGCCTTAGATTCTACACTTATTGATTTCTTTCTGTTAGCTTACACAGTCGAATCCGAATAACCATATGCAGTTAATTCATTGTTTTTAAATGACTGGATAAATAGGCAGTAGCTATTTTAAAAGCACGACTGAATGTTGAAGAAGAAAACATTAAATATTATCTAGTAATGTCCGGTTTTAACTCTTAGGTTTTATTTACTATGAAACTACAAATGGACGTTATACTTTAAAAAAATTGGAACAGTTCATAGTTATCGATGTGGCAAAGTATTTTAATTTTCCGGTGTTAAGTAGATAATAAATCTCTTTTTTATTGAATAGAAGCAACATATGCAGTTTGTTCGAAAAAACCAATTATTTGTTTACGTGCACAACGTGACTACAAACCAAAGGGTTGGCTTGGTCTTATAACTGCCCGAGAAAATCGTATCGACATTTCTGGAAAGTATCCATTTGATGAGTACTTTTCTACTTTATGTCGAAGAATCGATGAATGCATAAAAATCAAAACGGACCATTGTAGTTGATCACGTAAGTCATATCATTGATCAGTTATTATTCATCATAATTATATTTTTAAATTAAAAGCAATGAAACCCTAAAAGACTTTTATATCACAGTTGAAATGAAAGTATATATATTTTGTATTTTTCAAATGACGAAGATCAAGATGGAAACCAGTGTAATTTGAAAATGATTTTTGTTACGAACTAAATTCAAATAGAAAACCATTTAGATATAAGAAACATTTAACAGCTGTTTCATTCCAGTATTGAACTTCAAATCAGTAAGCACTGGTAACTTAGATACACTTAGAACCAAAAGCATTCATTTTTCACAGTTATCACTGTTTTCTTAGGTCAATCATTTAAAATTTATTGATTTTTATTTACAGTTTAAATCATTTTATGATGAACGCGTCAACTATCCGATATTGTTGGTAAGATTTGTTTCCATTTTGATGTAAATGGACATCATCACTTACGGGTTCCTCCTGAAACTATGCATATAGCTAATAAGTATTGAGCATATAATCTTTAGCGATTCTAAGAATTTTTTCAAATTGTTAATTTTACAGATAAATCATTTAAAACCAGTGATTACTAGACAGTTATTTTGTTGTGATTCCAGAATTCTTAAATCCGTAAACTAAATACGCAACTGAAATTGGATTCAAGATCTTGAAATATTAAAGCCAGAAATTCAGCAACAAGTTTTTAATCAACACTACTAAAATGAGATATTTTTAACCGATATTATCTAAAGAAATATATTATCTTTTAGTACATTTCCACGGAAGATCGTTTTGATGATTATATAGTAGCTTTTAAAGATTTTATAATCAGAGATGGATGGTGACTAACGGCAGAAACTCGACAGATGAATAAACCTGAATTAGAGAGCCGATGCTCACTCTGGGACTAGAACTGTCTACCGTTCATTTTAAACGCCATCGCGCCATACACTTATTTATTGAGTACGGATAGCCACTAGCTTGTGCAATGGGGTGAAGTTTAATTCATTTTTGGATTAATTGTTTGAATCTTTCCACTGACGTTTAGGACTACAATTGGCTATCTTGACTCAGTAGTTTAGTGGATAGTGCGACCACGTTTAAAACAAACGGTACCGGGTTCGAGCCCCGGAGTAAACACCAACTTAGGGGTGCAAGTACCAAGAACATGCAGCTGACGAGTCCAAAATAGGACGAAACGAAGATTCTGGATTCCACTGCTAGCCACCAACCATCCCTGCCCATAATACTTGTGACCCAAAGTAATATCAAGGTGGCACTCACATGATGTACAAATGTCAATGGGTAACTGACCAATCACAGCCTGAAACGTCAATGAGAAGATCCAAACACCCAATTGAAAAATGAGTTTTTATTGACTTTGTTCGTTAACAGTAGCTTATTTTCTCCAATTGGTTTGAGTTTATTTTGTTTCAGTTGTTCAACTGGTATTTTGAAATGATTTAAGTACTTTGTCAATCTTTTAAAATTACGCAATATTATTCATTTGTTGGCTGTAATCTTCTTCATTATTATAACAATATGAAAGGTAGTCCCGGTTATAAATATGCATTTCATTTCAAATAAATATTTCTATCTGATTTTGTTGTGTACAATAATTCTAAATAGAAGAACTCTTGAAAGATCAAGAATTGAACTGTAATTCATAGTACTTGAATGTCATTTCCAGTATTTCCAGACAGTCAGAACGTGAACAGCAATAGAGTTCAGAAAGCGCTTTCATACTATTTAGTACTAATCAGCTCAATGTACCTCCATCTCAGAGTTGGTGTTCACTCCGAGTATCAAACACTAAGAAATGTGGGTCCTGGATTACACTGGTAGCCATGTCTCATCTTTTTCATGGGAACTTGTATTACAGTAGCTATATCGAGGCAGTCCATGTAGGATGCTTATATGCCACGTGGGAAAGAACAAATTTCAGTTAATATTTCAGCAACAGGATAATCTAATCCATTTAAATGTGAATGAAAAAGACATTTAGCAGCAGGTCTCAGATTACTTCTGTGTATTTTGTAGATTAGTCAAAGAACTGTATAAGAACACTTTTCCTATTGGTTTCCAAATATTAACAAGATTTACTGGGCTTCCGTCAACCTTTCTTCAAATAGAATTTATTCACAGACTTATAAGTATTGTTAGTTGGGGATTCAGAATACATACACTCATGTCACTAAACTTCGTACTGATTTATAACATAGCACTTTAGAAAATACAGTTGTTAGAGGAATCGTAGGAATATAAAAACATTAAATGAATTTTCCATTTAGATTGATTATAAATATCCAAGAACAATTGTTGTTTGATACTAATCTAAGGAATGCGACGTCTTGTTTAAGCAATTCCAGTGTGTGCTACTTATGTGAACAGATATAAGAAGTATATATCAAGAATTGGAAGTGGAATCCTTATCAACAGAAAACTGAAATAAAAAGAAGAAATAAAACAGAGATCAGTTAGAACACTACAGAATTGGAGGAACGATGGAGATGTGTAGATGAGGATATGCAAATAATGTATTTAATGTATGATTTCAATATTTTACAAAGGCACTGTGTAACGTTTCCCGAACATGAAATTGTTTTTACCTAATTACTCTTCGCTCTCAACATAACCATCGCTCTCACGAGCAATCAATTGTAGTCATTAGCATCACAGACGAAATTATACAGACGTGTACAGTTCAGTTCATCCCCCGTCGCACATATTAGTACCTAGTTAAACTCAGAACTTAGTGAACAACGGGTTTATTGTTTGAAACCATAAGTACTATGTTCGATTGCAGTGGAGAGCCTTGATGTTGAAATGTGTTAGGTACACCTAATTGACGAGTCCCAAGTAGGATAAACCATTCATCTTGGATTCCACTGTCAGCCTCTATCGAATGTGACTAAAAACGTGTGAAGAGATGTTAATATTAAGGCAACTTGCTCAATATAGACTGGTTATTTGTAGTTATTACTACTGGCAACGGGAAAATACAAACCATTTCAAATGATAAATAGACACTGTGACCAATGAATGTTCAAGTTTGTTATTTTCGTTCATTTCCAGAAATATTTCTGGATTTAATCTTGACGTGATTTTTGAATGAACGAAAGAATTTTACGCGCCTGGCAACAAATAACCTCTAAACACAACTCACAGTGTGTGTAATCAAATTCAAATTTAAAACAAATGTGAAGATTATATGTTTTTGATTTGATTTTTTAAATGACATTGTAAACTACGTATGTATACTGCATACATTTCAGATATCTCTATGCAAGGAATTATGAGAGTGTACACTTCCATTTATTTTAAATCTTCTTGGTGGAATGTTCATAGTTTACTAGATTTCATTCTTTATCTTTTATTTACTTATTAAAATTTCTATTTTACTGATGATTTCTTTCGAAAAATTTCATTACTTTGTTTAAAAAACAAAATCAGCTTTCTTTATCTTGGTTCATCCAAGTATCATTGTTAAGCACTAGTGGAAAAGGTATATGTTACATTGCATTTAATAGTGTTATGTCTACAATTAACATATTTTGAGAATGAAGCATACTTGGAAGAATTTTGTCATGATAATGTAACTGTTGAAGTGTAACTTTTATCCCATATTCTAAATAAAACAGTTATGACTTATAAAAATTGATCCGTTGAATGTTGTTCAGTCCAAAATTCTGTAATGCTTCCAACTAAACATTAAATATTTTGGTGATAGTTCAAATGTTTTCATGTTTCAATAAAAAAAAAAGGATGAGAATATTCTTAGAATAAGATGGTTTCAATGGACGTTGTTACTTTTGACCCATCTACAATGTACAATTTGATAAGTATAATTGATTGAAGCAACTAAAAAGTTTGGAATATTTGAAAAAAATACTTGATACCAGGATAATGTAAAATCATTTATAAAACGTATTTGTAGTAAGGCGCCTGTTTGAATGTTTCAGACGGATATTTTTATAGATAGTTGAAATAATATTTCTAGAATAATATCACACAGTATTAACAAAGATACATAAGGAATATACAATAATAAAAAGGAATCATCAATAGTCACAAATAAATCAATGAATAACAGAAGTGTAATATGTAAGCTTATGTTTACTGTGGTTCGTTGTAGAACTTTTCAGTCTGCTGTGTAAAGCAACCTTGTATCTAGTTCAATTAATTTAGATTTATGTGAAACTTTACTCATTTTTTAATTCATTTTAAACTAGACTTCATTTTTAATTTCCATCTATCGCTGTGAACAAACAAATATGTAATTTCACAGATTGAAATTATGAGTCAGTTGAAGCTAGACCACTATGGAAAATCTGCAAGCACTGGACGGCCGTTTCCTCCTAGTATGGGACTCCTCAACAGTGCGCATCCACGACCCACATTCCACGAGATTTGAAACTAGATATCATCCTTGTTTTTTTCTTCTGGATAAAACATTGGTGGTTTCTATGACAGTTTTATTATCCAGTTCTACTGTCTGTAGTGTATATTCAATGTTAGTTTATGAGGAACCTTATCATTAAGTGGATTTATTCAAGTTTATTTTATATTGGTGTTAGGTATTCTCATATGTGTTCAATGAAATTAACAAAACATTCTAGAAAAATCATTTTCTGACTATGGACTATCGTATTACATGATCGAGAATGTTTTTTTAATGATTTCTTTCACTTTGTATAGACATATTCGTACTGTTCGATAGACGTTTATAGAACTAGGTGAAATATTTTATTTTTAATAGAAACACATAGACTGCCTAATAGACATACAAACTGTTATTGATTATGCTTAGACAAACAATTCCCCATAAATTATTATGATCTTACAAGTTGATCAATAAAATAGATGTAAAAACGTTGTCAAGGGAAGTTAGCCAATCAAATATTGAAAATAAGTATGATACTACGTATGAACTCGTAATGAAACAATCTGTTTACCGAATTGAAAACGGGAAATTCTTTTGAAAGAACAGTAATATTAATTGATGAAATTTTCAGATAGGTTCTTCACCAATTGGGATGTGATTCGTAAAAATCAGGACATGCGTTGATAAGAGGAAAACATGAGAGCGTATTATAGATACATGTCTAAGAGAATGCTTATGCAATATTAATAGAAACCAGTATAATGTATCTAATTATCATTTGAGTTTAAATTCTGTCAATCAGATTTCAACTTACTTCGTGTAACTCCATAAAATGTCCCTGAATATAAAATTCTATGAAACCGGTATTTATTTGAAGGGTTTGTTAGGATTTCAAATATTGCAAAATTTAAACACAAGAGTTTTTGATGACTACGTCCCAGTATTCAGCATCAACTTTACTGGTTCGTGTATGGTTAGTTGATTGAACTTGATTTGAATATTTCTTCAAATTTTATCTTCATAATAAACTTGATTCATACTAGAAAAATATTAACATGTTATATAAAATCGTAGTGTCATGATAAAAAATCTAATTGATGTATGAGGTTGTGGTGAGATCATTAGCTGATCAGTGATAGACCACCATTGATAATTTGGAAGCACTGGTTGACTATTTCGTTCTAGTATGGGACTTAGCAGTGCTCAATTAAAATCTAACAATCTCTACAACCTTATACTGATAATTATCATGTACTCACTAGTGATCAGCTTCGGAAGACAATCCATGGAGTTCTAGTGGGAAGCAGTAACCAATAAAGTTCAGCCGTATCGTAAGAATCAGTTATCCACCGAAGGCAATAGAAAATGGTCACGCAATTTCGTGGATCGGTTAAAATTAGATATTAACACCATTAGATTTCGACTCAGTGGTCTAGAAATTAGGGGTTCGCGCCCGAGACCGGAAGTCCTGGGCCTGAGTCCCGCGTGCGGAATCGTGGATGCGCACTTACGATGAATACTATACTGGGACAAAACTGCCTTCCATCGCTTCCATGTTTTCAATGGCGGTTTAACAATGATCTGTTCATGATCTCAATCTAATCAAGGTAATTAATCTTTACACAAGCATATGTCTTGCTGAATATCGATCAACTCTAAGTTTAAAAGTATCGATGTAAATAGAACCAACTTCTGAATAGTTAGTACCAATTTAATAAAAAAAACGTGATAAGGTTTTCTAATGAATATGTTTCAAAATTCTACTAATTTAAATTAACTAACCATTTGACCTGAAAGATAACAAATTCAAGTTAATGAAAATGATGTATGAAATATTTTGATCATAAATGAAAGAGTCAAGAGAAATATAAAATATTTATACTGAAGAATAAAAACGAAACTTAATTTTATGGTCATTAATCTGTTCAAGCCAAAACTCATTGTTCAACAATGTAGATATCTTCAAAATTTGCCATTGTCATCTTTAGAATAACTTCAGTTCTATAATAACATCTTTTTTTAGCTATGATTAAACTAATACAGTTGACTTATATTGTATTTATATTACCTGTAAGATGTATTCTTCGAAATGCATTAACACTGAATGAGTCAGGTTCGAATCTTAAGGCTATCATTAGTCCCCTCAAAATTATGAAAGTCAACTGATAGTACGAGATCGAGATACAAAGTTTCTAAGTAGCCGATCTGATTGCATGAAATATTTCATGTACAAGTCCACAATCAGTTGCACCTAATATTCCAAATACAATCTAAAGTGTTACATCTACTGATGATAATACTGGTGATAGTTAGTTTTTAATAAAACATGTAATTCTGAAAGTTCAAATATTTCAACTCTATCTAACTATTGATACCAGATTAGAAGCACAATAGTTTGTTAGTTATGCAATATACCCTTGTGGGCCAGGGTAATTTTACATAGATTTTCAGGAGAAACAGACACCATCCATACTTTCACGTGACAACCCAAACAGCACAGTTCAATCCTGTTTGACTGGAGAGCCAGAAACCGTATAGGCTTTAACGCTACAATCTGAATAGTACAACTTAATCCTGTGACATAACCATACAGGTACCGAGCACCCTGGTGGACCAACAATAGTTTATAATTTCATAGTATTATGATGCATGAAATCTCTAATTTCAATAAAGAAGCCTAATTGGCAAAAATATCGAATTGTCTAAATTGAAATACAGTTGAAAATTCTGAATAATAATGTCAAGATGACGTTGAACCATTTCTACTAACTACAATTTAGAACTCAGTAGCTAAATATTATTTGACAACGAAATTTATAATGAGTGAGCAGCTTCTTTCATTATCAGGATTTCTTCTTTATAAGAAATCAAAATCTACACTGTAATTATCTTGTAACCACAGTCCTAACGATTTTACCAGGAAAATAGATTTCGACAGAAGAATTAGTAGTCACATTAAGGAATACCTAGTTCATTATGAATGTTTAGAATAGAATAAGGGATAATCATAAACGATTTTAAACATCATGAATAACTTTAGTTATTATGTTCTAGAAGATTACTTAGTTAGCTTTCATTTCTCAGAAAATTTGGCGGTTCCAAAACAGGTTACAATGTGTGTCAATTGAAAACCATCAATCACCTAGATCACATATTTCCATATCTCCATACATCTTCCATATGAACATATAAACTGGATATAAATAAATCTGTAGTTCTCTTTAAAAAAACAAGAATAATTCGTCCTTTTTGACTAGAACACTAATTGATCATTAAAGTCAAAGTTCAAACCAGTTTCAATTGACTATCAGTGATCTCAAAATGTAACCAGAGTTAATCACTATAGCATAATTGACTCAATGGACAGGTATGAGAAAGTGACACTTAAATAAAAGAAGTAACATAAATGGATAAGTATATATGAATGACTTCGTTATGTGAAAACAACAAATGTATAGAAAGATTATCTCAAAGTTGATTTCTCAACATGTCTCTGATATCTCTGCATGAATCTAAAAAACAAAAAATTAACTATCAAAAATAAACAGTTTAAAACCATTTAAGCGGTTGACTAGGACTCAATTATCTAAACTATATTTCGTCGGTAATAAGATCTTCAATTACATTTCTTTAAAACTAGAAAGCATCCATCAACGTTAGAAAGGTATCATTTGATTTGGTAATGATCTTCAGGTAGGAATTACATATATTAGAAAATTATAAGTAATCAACAAACTGTCATTTAAGTAAATGCATTAATTCAAAAATGTTAGAACATAAAAGTGTACTTCATGGGTTAGATATCCAACTAAACCATTACTATTATTTCTTGTTGATACTTCTTATTAACTTTGACGGTTTGCTTGAATATCTGAGCTACCTGTTCCTGATATCAACATATCTCAATAAGTTACATGTTTTCTGTTTGTTTTTTACACATCATTATGTTTGTTAATCGTATAATTAATCGCGTTTATGAAAAGTTTGTAATATTTCGCCGTGCACCTTACAAAAAAGTATAATCAGAGATATTTTGATAGATGTCACTATGCATTAAAACTAATGATCATTATTCAGATATTGATTCCTGAACTGCTGACATCTAACTGGCAATCATTCAATATTTATATCAGGTTAGATGAGGAAATAAGGAAAGAGAACTTGTTGAAATACTTTGCGCCGAGAATTCTATATTGAATAATGCTATTAGTAATAATAATAATAATATCATGAATGGTTTTACAGCACACTAGATGGATATACTGAACCATATAAATAATACAATATTTTGTTTAATTTTTTCCTCATTTAACTCAATAAGTAACAGTGATAATTTGGCAAGATCTACAACATTAACCAAACATTTATTCAAAATAACAATCTTGATGGAGTTTTCTTCTCTGAGATGGATGGTTTGGTCGTGGAGCTTTCATTGTTCTTCTGGACGACATCATCAGCACAAACGTCAGAAACTTCAGACTTCTATCTGAAGTGTGTGCTGATGATGTCGTCTAGAAGAACAATGAAAGCTCCATGACCAAACTATCCATCTCAAACAACAAAACTCCATCAAAATCATCCACCCAAGCTACAAATCTTCTCCACCAACTCAGAATAAGAATAAATTATTTATAAAACTTCATTCATTTCTAAAAAGAACACCTAATATCATACCAGGATTCAAGACTATCATCAGGTGACTCAAAATAAAAAGGCCGCAATCCAATCGTATATATATATATGAAAATATATTTCTGTTAAAGTACTAGTTCCGTGAGGAAATATGAACAATGAATGACCAAGATGACATAATAGAAAGATTACAATACTATATTAGGTAATAGGTAATGTTTAAATGGGAAATTATCTGTCTATAAGAATAATGTAGTCTAGTTTAGAAGAGCTGAAGAAAACAATTCAATATTTTATGACAAGAAAAAAATAACTCTCAGATGTAAACAGTAAAATTCAAATGTCAAGAAAAATCCAATTTGAACATTTCAACAGATCTCAACAACATTGACGTTAACAGTCAAGAAACAAAGACTCATCCGGGTGGAGATTACAGTATTCTATTCATCATTTATTTGTAGTTCATGCAAAAAAATATTCATTCAACATCATTTTTGTATTCACTAGCCCTCATTTGTGATATAAGAAAAAAGGTAACATGAATCAATAAATAGGAATATGTAAATCACAGATATCCAGAACATTTTAATGAATTAAGTAGTATAATGAAAACAGTGAAAGAAAAATACAAACAAGTAACTGAAACAGTATTATTCATTACGCTTTATGTTTAATTGAATTCTATTTTCGGATGATTTCCTTCCCTTTTTTTCTAGGATCAATTGAGTAATATTATTTTGTTATTCATACTTTGTAAGCAACATGAACCAACTCAATGTTTACACATTTAGGTAATTGAATTGGTATCCTATAAAAAGAAAAAAATTGCAAATAAAAATTATAGTGTAATGGATTATGTCATAAAAGATATGTAATTCTTATCACAATGGGTTATGTGGAGATTTTTTAGAAATTTCACTTGTTGAAACCATGAGTCAATTGAAGCTAGACATTAACGCCGTTGGATGCGGGCTCAATGGTCTAGTTGGTTAACCGCCTGACGCGAGACTGATAGGTCCTGAATTCAAGTCCCGTGGAGTGCGGGATCGTGGATGCGTACTGCTGAGGAGTGCCGTAGTAGGACGAAATGGCCGTCCAGTGCTTCCAGCTTTTCCATAGTGGTCTAGCCTCAGCTGACTCATGATTTCAACAAGTGAAATATGGAATTCTGTTAATTATTATGAATATGAAATAGAAAATAGTAGAAGCTCACAAGTTATTTTTTTTTTCGAATTATCTAATTGTATTCATATGTTACCTGTTAATTGAATTATGTACAATTGATGAAGTAGTGAAAGTTCATTAGTTGAGATGGCTGGTACATGTGCTACATATGCCCATCTATCGACTGCTTCGATGTGTGATGTTTTATGTTGTAGGAGTAGGTTGGAAGAAAGCTAGGGGCGGCCAGACCAAAACATGGAACAAATCAATAAAGTCACTGACAAGTGGACTGAGCCATTTTGGTATGTGTAGACTACCTGCTTTGGATTCGCAAGACGATAGCAACCGACGGTTAGAGACCTTGAATGACGACTCAAAATCGTTTGCAATGGCGCAGGTGCATCCATTCTTTATGTTCTCACAAATTCTAACCTTCTGAATCTTCTTCCAAATATATTTCGCTGGTTTATACTCCTTGAATAACATCTTCAAACCCTAATCTTTCTGATTACTGCTTATATGTTTACTACCTCTATCACCACGTGATTTGAATCGACAATTGTATCTCTGTGCTAATGTGGTATGGCAACTCGAACTGGTGTACGTATGTACTTAGTTCTACGTTGTTGTTGACAGAACTGACTGACTGACAACAGAAAGTCATCATACGATTTTAATTGTCTTCATTCAAATTTAAGTAAATGAGAATGTTGAGAATCCTTTTGATAATGTTTTAATTCATTTATTCATGATTCAGAACAACATATATAAGTGAACAATATTGTTTTAGATTAGATCCTCATCAAGCTTTACTCTAATATACAGTAATATTGATATGTATATAGGAACTAGATAATAAACTACATTTCCTTGACCTTTTATTAAACAGAAAAGAAAATAGTCCTATCAGTAGAAGTGTGTATAGGAAACGTTCTTCATCAAGGCAGTACACATATTTCTTGAGCTCTGTACATCTTCAATGTAAAAGAAGTCTAGTCCAATGTCTTGCAAGCAGAGCTAAAAAGGAATTAGAGCTCATACATAATATGTTGATTGAAATGGGTTATTCACAAGGTTTCCTTAAGAATCACTTGCCTGTAACAAATAAAAAAATAACGACATCAATAGCTAGTAAGAAACCTCTCTTCAAAGGAGGTATAGCTGGTGGTGTGCTACGTGATTATGGACTGACTAGAGCAGTTAAGAGAACGTTTAGTGCAACCAACCTCTCTCTATCGTATTTGATCCGATCTATGGCGATTCCCCAACTAAATGATAAGTCACATGGTTATGCCACTTCTATGTGTATCTACGAATTCAGCTGCTCCTGTGGAGAAAGCTATATTGAGCGCACCACCAGACACCTGAGCCAAAGAGTTATTGAATACCTCCCTACGTGGTTAGGAGAAGGTACTGTCAACACAATGCGCGGCTCGGTTCTATCATACTTGATCGATGGCGGTCATGTAGAAGACAGAGATAAGTTAGTTTTCCTTATGGGGTTTGATCTCGACTCTTACATATAGCGAAAGTAATGGGAATTCGAGCCAACAACCCAAGTGTTTGTGTTCATAAAAAATCTGTAACACCTTTTCCTCTTCCGTGGCCTTAATAAATGATATTATTTACTATTATTTTACATACTTCCTCGTCATTGATTTTTCTTCACCCTCTCGTACCATTTTATTTTATTTCCTCTCAAATATACGTTTCACGGTCCAATTATCTGAACACTTCTTATTACGTCTATATTTTTCTAATTATTGACCTATTTCCCATTATGTAATATTGATTGAAGCCTTTATTATTCTTATCACAACTAGTACACCTGTCATTACACTACCAATTTGTACTTTTCACTTATTATATTTAGCTATGTAATCTAATCTACTATCCCCATTGACTCATAAACTACCTTGATAGGTTTAATAGTTTCGTATATTCATATCAATTTTACTGTTTATTAAGAGTAAAGCCTGATGAAGATATAATCGAAAATAGTATTGTTCACCTATATATGTCGTTCTAAATCACAACGGGGTTGAGGTGTACTGCTTGGGTTGTCACGTGAAAGTCCGGATCATGTCTGGTTCTCCTGAAAACCGATGTAAAATTACTCTGGCCCACAAGGGTATATTATATAATAACTGTGAAATCATAATGTGAGTATTTTTCACACTTATTTATGATCACATAATAGGTATTTATTGAGAACAATAATTTATATTTGTTAATTGAATATTTAACGCTTTCATTTAGGGTGCCTGGAGCTCTTCCAGGATTACTACTGGGTAGGAGTGGAATGTTGAGTATGAGATTAACCACTCTATCCTGACAAAAATAACCTTCCTATATAGTACTTGATTTACACAACCTTCTAGTGAACAATATTTTTAATTTGCTAGTGAATATTCACTTAAAATCGCTGATTATTGTGAGGTCATAAAATCTGTTTATTATAATAAATGAAAGATATTTTCAGGCTTTGTGATAATCACTATGAAAACAGAGATTGAACTGAATAGTTTACTGCCAATTAGAATCAAATGATTCGAGAATACTGGATGGCGACCTATACTCCATTGGGAGTAACAGGCATAAGTAAGTAAGCAAGTAAGATTAATTATTCACCATAATCTAATAACATCGAAATGTATTAAATGGGCAATTACAAGTATAGACATTATTTATTCGTTCACAAGTGTAATATGCTTTATGACAATTTTGCTTTGGAGTATTAGCTGACAATAATTGCTTGTGCTATTCTAGTACCTTTACTCGGTTCGTAAGTAATAAAATAGCTTAACATGGCTCGGTAAATGAAAAAAGCAGGTTTTCACCATTAAATTGTTTTCATGGTTAGAAACAGTTAATCATCAAACTGATCCTTTTGTTTATACCGGTTTCATATATATACTTTTATACGATTTATACATTAAGTAGATCACGATACTGACTTACTCATCCATCTCAAGACTGTTATTGTTTTTGCCAATCTATGAAAACTAAAAGCAATTATTATGAATGAAAATGGTTGAGTTATAGAAAACGCTATTAGTAGTTCCATATAAAGATGAAACAGATATCCAATGCCCCTTAGTTTCCAAACATACAACAGTTGATATAAGCTTGAGACAATTATAATCTACAAATGGAATTTTCCACAGTAGTAATGATTTTTATATTCGTTTCATATTGATGAATGCGATATAATTACAAAAGAAGACATGAAATGAAACATACCACTTCTATTGGTTTATTTTGACAATGATTACTAAGTTGATCAATGGATTGCTTTTTATATACGTCTATTCTTTTACACAATTCAATAAATTTATCTTCAAAAGGATATTTTCCAGAAATATCAATATACAATCGTGTTCCCATCATAAAACCTAACCATCCATCTGGTACATAACCTCTTTGTGCACGTAGAAATAATATTGGCTTTTTTTCATGATAAGCATATTGAGCTTCTGGAATCAATATAAAAATAGGTTGTTTTTTTTAAATAACGAATATTAGTTAAAAAATACAATAAAATATGTTCATGAATATGAGATTTTGCTGTGCTGCTACTTATATTGATAAAAGTAGTATAAAACGTGAGTCAAGAATATAATGTCTGGCAGCAGAGGATTGAGAAGATCAAGAAGGGAAGAATGGGAATAGAAAGTAATTGGTATAGAAATGCAAGAACAATGAAGTATGAGACAATTCATGAAAATTTTGCAAATTAAGTATTAGAGTATGGTTTCTCACCTGTGTTCTCGTTCATTACATTTCTACATCCTGAATTCACTGAAAGCATACAAGGGACAAAAATAAATGTGTAACCCCATGAATAAACAATAAATATTCCTTCACAATGAAAATACAAATATCTTGTAAATTTGGCATGTACCCAAGACGTGTGTTTCTTTCTATTTAGGATCTGTCAGATAGATATGCCTTTATCTAATTGTTAATGTCTATATCATGATTCAAATCCCGAGTATTTACCTTCAAACACCAAAGAATGTTAGTGACTAAACAATGGAATTCTGAATATCAACATTTGGAAATTACAAACCTTCTCGTCAATTCGACGGTTTTGGCCTATTCTTCAAATACCAATTTGAATATTTTATTTTACAGATGAAAGTAAGATTTCATAAAAGACAGGTTAAAGTTAACCAATGTATATTAGAAAGAAATTAAACCGATGAGAGCTGCGTTTATATGAGATTTCGATAATCGACACCGTAATTCCTAACAGAACATTGAGCTTACTAACAACTTTTAATTTGTGTCAGAACTCCAGGATATACTTAGTTCTAGTGAGAAGTAGTGACCAGTGGAGTTCAACTAGGTCTGTTGTGAGATAGTAACTCACTGAAGACAATGGTGGATGTGTCGCTCAATTTCGTGGATTACTTGAAATTAGACATTAACACCGTTGGATGCCGGCTCAGTGGTCTGGTGGTTAAGTGCTCGCGCTCAAAACCGGTAGGTTCTGGGTTCGAATCTCACAGGGTGCGAGGTCGTGGGTGCGCACTAATGAGGAGTTCCACAATAGGACGAAACGGCCGTCCAGTGCTTCCAGGATCTCAATGGTAGTCTAGCTTCAACTGACTCATGATCTTAATCATTGAGATTACTATAATATCCACAAAACCCATCTGAATTTATATTATTCACAATGACGAAAAAGCATATCCTAATAGTCAATATATGATAAGTAAGAATGGTATGGGAAAATCAAATGGAACTTACAATTTTTTATGATTTATAGTACACTGTCTGATAAACTTATCTAATTTCATATGAATTATATTCTAATGTGAGCAATTCCTAAGAATAGAAGTTCATTTGAACACAATGATATCTACGAAAGAATAACGATCATGACCTATTCAATGAGCTTACCTTTCAAATATACACTTTTAATTAGTGTAAGTTATATTTGTACTAAGAAATATCGTAGTACATAGACCATGCAACAAATATACATTCCATATTATACGATTATATGAAATGAATAGTTATCTATCCGTAAACTGTTTCTAATAAGTGTCCAATAAGTGTCTAATTCTATGTTCTGATTCAGTAAAATTCAATGATTCATTAAATATTTTACCTGTTTTAAAGAGTTAATAATGAGGAAATCTTGTTGAATTTCAGGCGAATTCTATAAACCATCTTAAAATCAACTTTCGAGTCATTCCTTTACGTAGGATCACTTAAATGTCTAAATCAGACCTGTAGTATTGAATATATTGAGAAAGTACTTCATTTTTTCCAAAAAGAAATCAAACGTAACTTTAAAATGAGTTTCCAAGCCGTTTCAATAAAAAGAAGATAAAGAAAGTTAGTATATGAAATCAAAAATATTTTGTCCCAAAAAGTGCTTTTTTGGTCAAATAAAAATTTTACAGTTGAATTTATGAGTCAATTAAAGCTAGACCACCATGAAAAACCTGAAAGCACTGGGTGGTCGTTTCATCGTAGTATGGGACTGTTTAACAGTGTGCATCCAAGATCCCGCGTCTTGCGAGATTTTAACCAAGGACCTGACAGTATCGTGTGCGAACGCCTAACCTGTAGACCACAGAGTCGGCATCCAATTCTGTTAATGTCAAACTTCAACCAATACATGAATTTGAGCCAACGTAAATCATTGTCTTCAGTGAGTTACTAACTCACCACAGATTCTAGTCTTACACTAGGATGAAACGTCCATTCAGTGCTTCTACGTTTTCCATGATGGTCTAGCTTCAATTGACTCATGAATTCGACTAGTGAAATTTCTAACATCTCCACAGAACCTCTACTGATAATAAAAATGAAAACTTATTCAACTTACCACATTTTGTGTGAAGACTTTCTTTATATGATTTAGAGTAGAGAATACAAACAACATATGAATTTTCTACAGCTTTTGCCATACCCTCCATTACATCAGTTTCATACATCATATCTTTATAGTCAATCCATACCTAAATGTTTATATACATATACGTATGTAAAAAAACAATCATTACAGATGTATGACTCTTCAGTAAAATCTGTTCACATTATTTAAAATAAAAATAGATTAGCTACATTACAGTACATTATTAGTGTTTATGTTGTTTTACCGATTGGTGTACCTAATTTCAGATAAATCACTGGAATCTTGGCACTTGTGCATAATAAACATCAGAATTATTAGCTTTTACGATGTTGCAAATGTAAATTTTAATTCTATCTATTTGTCAGTACAAGATGCGGAATCATGGATACACACTGTTGAGGAGTTTCATATTAGGATGGAACGGCCATTCAGTGCTTCCAGGTTTTTTCAATGGTGGTCTAGCTTTAATTCATCAGTTCATGATCTCTATCTATTCATCTAAATAACAGAAAACGGAAACGAATGAATGAAACATATTGGATCATCAGTTTACCAAACGTCTTTTCTTGACTAATTAAAAGAAAATTTAAGAAGTAAATGCCTTTATGTTGATTGAAACTTTTGCATGTTGGTTAGAAGTGATCACGTTAAACTAAAGCAAGCTCAATAAACATTTAAATTTGTCCATTACTAGCAACAAATACAAATTTAATCATCTAATTTTGAATAGATATTTCGATGGAGTTTTGTTCTCTGAGCTAGATGGTTTCGTTGTGGAGCTTTCATCATTCTTCTGAACGACATTATCAGCACAAACTTCGGATAGTTCAGAGAACAAAACTTCATCAAAACCATCCACCTGAGCTACAAATCTTCTGCACCATTTAAACTGACATCTATTTAAATGTAGTTTACATTTACATTTCTATTCTCTTTCAATGGTACCATTAATTTTCTTTGATAAAACAATGCTTACTATAATCTGAAATTTTCATTTATCATATAGTCAATGGTTATTTCACTTAAATAAGACACTTGAGTCATAAGTAGCTTAATGATAACGTCTCAAACTGGATGATTCTAGTAACATTCCTGACGAATGTCAACCTTGTTTAAATTTACTTGTTGATTACCTCTTATCAAGTAACATTAAACTCTTAGATTTAATATTCCTTGCTTATGAATATCAGCTGTGGTATTGCTGAAAATAATAGAGAATGAAAATGTTTAATTCAGCGTAAAAATACATTTGTAATTTGTACTGTTAATGTATTTTCAGTGGGGCCCTTGAATTTTGTCGTCATTTCAATCGGACGATGTTTTCGAAAGGACTCTCCACTTTAGTGGCTCGGGTTCTGATTCTAAGGAGATTGTAATGATGATTGTTGTTGAAATATATATGTCGCCTAACCTCGTATATAATCATCGACTTAAATCGCGTTAACCAAGCGTTTATCAATATTTATAGTTACCCAAAAGTAAATTACAGACATGTGATGAGTAATGGCATAAGAAGTGTACTCATACCTACTCGTTCATATGAAAACAGTCAAGAGTGATAAGCGAATAAATAACAAGGTCAGAATGTGACTCAAGTAGAATAAATAGAATGGGCTGTCCGAAAGCTAGAATACGGTATATGGGCTTAACATAATGACCGACACTACATATACATTGACATCAATAATTCAGCTCGTATTATTATGTACGAAGTTGAATGAACTAGAAAGAATGACCTTAAATAAATTTATAAGAACGTGATAGATCATATCACCGATCGTAATTCATTTACAAGGGAATCGATGTAGGTATTCAGTTAGAGGAGATGTTCTGAGGGCTAATGATAATACCTGTCCATATAATCAAATATTTCGGTGAATAATATAATCTAACGGTTAACAGCAGAATAACTTAACATATAATCTAATAATTTAATCTATATTCAGCAGTTTTAAATTTAAGGCAATACAATTTCTATTGAAATGTAGCATTTCACTAGACTGAAAACTCTAATTTAGTCTTATTTTATACAGTTTCTTGACAATAAATTTACTATATATCTACTATTCTTCAATATGGAGGAATTCTACTTCACCACATAATGATAAAATAACAGTATAAGGAGTCACTACAATCGATTATTATATCGGGACATAGCTAACATTTCTTGAATAGTTAATTTGAACTTGTTAAACTACATTGATGTTACCCTTGAATTTATTATTTTAGATATTTTATATATTATAACTCTCTATATTTCCAAGCAAACATAGGTAGTGGCTTGCAGTAGAATCCAGAACGCGTGTTTCGTCCTACTCTAAACTCGTTAGCTGGATGAACTTGCAACTCCGAGTTGACGTTCACTCTGAGACTCGAACCCAGTACCTCTCGCTTGAAACGTCATCACGTTATCCACTTAGCTACTGAGTTATGATAGCCACCTGCTTATGCAATGGAGTGATACAAGTAAACAATACCAAGTGAATATGTCATATTTGCATTACGAATACTGTTTATTTTCATAAAGCTTGTCATCGAAAACGATTCTCAAATCTTATTGATTCTTCAGTAATTCTGATACTCATTCTTATAAAATTACTGAATAAAACAAATATTTGAGTAGCATCAACAAGCGATGACAATCATGAAGTATTAAAAACGATTATTTGTTTTATTACGAAGTATCTGCCCATATACAACCACATATAAGAGATCACCCAATAACATTTAAATCTAAATGGTATTTGTGTCATTTGTTTTAAAACAATTAGATCATGACTATCAGTGGAGTTCAGGATATGTGTTTTGGTCTATTTTTCAATCGTCAATTAGATACTTTTACACCTCATTGTTGATAATCACAATAGGAATCGAATCCAATGTGTTTTACTTTATATAGTAACTGATTACAATTATCATATAATAGATGGAATGTAGATAGTAGTAATGTCTAAGACATTTCTATTTGGCTCTCATCAATTAGATATACCTGCAACTTACAGATGATGTTTGCTCCGCAACTCCAACTCAATACCTTTCAATTCATAAAAAGATTCAATACACAATAAACTTCTGACTTCAACGGAACCATTCAGACCATTATAAATTCCATTCAGAACATTTATTTAATACAAACAAAAGGAACTATGTTTACCATTGATCATATATCTTTAAACTAGTGAGTTTACTAGATAAAAAAATAGTAAATAAACGAAGAAAACAAAACAAAACAAGCCTCATCTCATATCACTTCAAATAAATAACAAATAACTTTACCTTGTAACCTTTATTTTCTAGTTGTTCACTTAAATACATTGCCATATCTTTCTCTTCATGACTATAACTAATCAATATATGTGGTATTTTATCCACTAAACCTATATTACTTTCATTATATATAAGCCAATCAGTTTTATTATGAACTTGTTCATTATTTAATGATGTTTCAACAATATTCTTTCCATCATTATCATTAATAGTTCTATTAGGAAATATAACTTTTCTTGAATTGGTTGTGATATACTTTCTAATTAATTTCATTGTATCAATAAAATAAAGACATAATAGATAAGTAAGCATTAGAAATCTTGTCATGTACACAGTGATGCTTAATGATCAAAGGAGACATTCATTCGAAAAAGTTGAAGTTGATTCAAATACTTTCTTTACAGTTTTATATAAATGGATTGTTGGCAAATAGTCTAAATTTATATTTTCAATGAATAAACCAGTCTATATTTAGATTAGATTGAGAGATTCATGCCTAAAATAGATTACCAATATACATAATTGAATAATAATCATAATCGAGTACTAAGGAAAGTTTATTGCGTCATTCAAAAGCTAAAAGTGAAAAAGATATATATACATATTGATAAACTACAATAACTCGGGATTTTCATTCTGGAATTTTGTTGTATATTCGTAACTACTTAAAAATAATAAGTAGCATTACTATTTTTGTTAAAACTGTTGGATTGTGTTGTGTCTCAATATGAATTTATTTTTTTAAATCAACATCTAATTATGTTTATAGCTTATCAGTTATTCAGTTTTAATGAAAAAAAGTGGTTAGTTTTGTCTTCCTGTCTGACACAATGTTGGTTCGTAAATATTAAACGTTTCTTAATCTAAACAGTTATAAAATTAACAGGCAAATATCGATACCATTTCTAAGCGTAATACAGTTGATTAAGTCTTATTTGACTATAATTAGACATATGCGTTCTTGTTCATTTATTGACTTTAAAAAAAATAAATATATTTCAAATTTAGCAGATATATGCTATTTATGAGTAAGTCAATCATTTGCCTTCTTTTCAATCCATATCGTCATTTGAAGCATGTAAGAGATGATCAGTCACTCAATGTTGATCTATCAATCGATTATTTTAAGACAATTGTAGTTCAACCTTGACTAATTGTTTGACTGATCAGTTTTCTAGAATGAATGATATGAACTCATTGCTTATCCATCAAATCAACAGCTGTATTATTTACAAAAAAGACATCAAACAACATGACTTGTTGACTGACTGTATACTGTAAGAAATTAAATCGATGTTTTGTATCTAAAATATGGGATTTAATAGTTGTATCCATGGAAGTTTCCAGATACAAAGGGATTGACGAATGATAAATATGGATATTTTTGAGTTTGCACATCTCACTGATACATAAAGTTCATGATTATGCACTATGTTATTCGATGCTTAAGCGTTTATTATCTGCTCAAAGAAAATGCAAAATCTAAGGCTGTTTTATAGTGATACGCCCTAAGCCATTCTTGTCGCTGACTTCACTTATACACCCAATATGATTAAGTTGATATTTAATTTTTATGAAGTGAAAGTCTTATTCAGTGACTGAAATGAAATGTATTTTGATTTGAGTATATTTCATTTTAGTACGTTTTTTGTTTCCATTTTAGCTACAGTTTATTTACAGAATTCTTGTTTTGATAAATAAATGCTTGAACAAGCGTACGTTATCCAGGATATAAAATTTATTCGTATGATTCTGATTCGATAACTGAGTTATACGCAAAAACCCGGTAAATAATGCGAAAGACAACGATTACAATAATGGTTCCAAACCTCAGATGGTAATGTGGCCAAAAATTGACAACACGTAATTAAAGTCAAACGTAGTATATAGACTTTTCAAGGAATGGACAAATACAAAAGGTTGCGAAAGCAGAAAAATTAAAGAGGATAAAAGCAAAAATTTTCCATCACCAATATAAAAATAAACCAGAAAGACAGAAACTGTGGAATCCCACTTGTGCAGGAATAAAACTGTTTAAAAAATCAGGTTACTGAGTAATATTAAGTAGTATAAAATATCAAACCAAAAGGTAGCTAAATTCAATATTTTAACCTGTAATTTATTAAATCATTGATTTGGTAACAACATCATGCATAAGTGTAGTAACGCCATAGTGCAAAATAGACGTTAGTTTACGGAGTTGGATAATCATTATTCAGCATCGTATAGAGAAAAAAGTTGGGGACGGGGATCTGGTTCAGTGGACTAAAATGTCAATCGTGATATGGAAATCGAAATGATTAAATTCCAGTTTTTAAGTGAGTTCCTGTAGAAAATATGCTTTTACAAGTTGATTATATTTAGGATTTCAGCTTGAACATTTTCACACGAGGTGGGAGGCTTGAAAACGGATAGGTTGTACTTTATTGAAAGCTAAGTACAACATGCCTGTATTTATTTACTTGGATCCTTAAAACTGTTAATATGGTTAACACAGACAAATGAGAAAGGTGTTTTATAAATTCACTGACGTAGCTTAAATGCTTTTAAAAGATTAAAAGATCCGGCAACAAATGAAGAAGCGACCGATTCTAAGGGAATTCCTTAGATGTCTGTTCCCTTTACCTACATATATACTTGCTTCTTTAAAACGTATCCGTCAACCCCCGAAGTTGTCCTATATTCCCACTAGGTTAGTTGCTTGAAGCCATAGATATTTATCATTCTTCCTCTTAACCATTAACTTATCCTCCTAACTTGTGCGCCTAACAATGACCATAAATTCTAACGTAATGACCAAATTTTAATCCTAACGCCTGATCATTACCATAAGTTTCGTGCGAGCTTTTATGGAATAAATTCCTTATTTGCATCACTGACAAAATAGGTGTCTAGAAGTTAGCTGTTCTTTCCAAAAACCATTCCGCTTATCAAATAAATGAATGCGAATATAACTTTAGTCACAAAATAATGATCAATCAGTGCAAACAAAGAATTCATTTCAGTATTTCCTCTCATCTAACTTCAATCATCTGATATTTACAATGTAATAATTTATCATTTATACCAATGACAATATCACAATTACATTAGTAAACAAGTTTTAAGTGTCTCTTTTCCTAAGTGCACCTCATTGCGATTGATTTGAGATGAATTGTAAAGAATGTATTATCATATGAAAAACTCATTAGTTATGATCCAAACAAAATGATATAGCAAACTTAGTTAGCAGATAAGTATGTGGATGCGCACTGCTGAGGAGTCCCATACTAGGAAGAAACGGCCGTATGTATGTATGTATTTATGTATATATTGGAATTAACGTAGATCTTTCTCTTACTTCTTCTGTGATAATTGTTGTTCAGTTACTGTTGTTTCCTGGTTCCATAATGATTTTTGTCGATTGTATCAAAAGAAACACTGTCTATACCTCTAATGATATAACTCGAGTGACATTTCATTAGGAAAGGAACAGTTCAATGAATAAATCTTTATTGTTCGTTTTATCTACTATTAAAATGGAAAACAACATTAGTATCATTTAAATATGTTCCTTTCTGAACTGATAATAGTTTTTCAAAATATAATTCAATCGTCATTTTAAAAATAAAGTTAATTTGTTGTTTACGTTTATTAAGGGTAGTGATTTCATTGAAATACCTCAGGAAATATGATTTTCAATAGTTAATATCATGAGTCAGTCGAAGCTAGAACACTATGGAAAACCTGGAAGCACTGGGCTTCTGTTTCATCCTATTGTGGGACTTCTCAGCATTGCGCATCCGCGATTCTGCTTCGTGAGATTCGGGCCCAGAACTGTTGATCTCGCGCGCGAACGCCCAACCTGTAGGCCACTGGGTAGGCATTCAGTGGTGTTAATATCTAACTTTAACTTATCCACAAAATTGTGTGACACATCCACATCTCACAATATCATTTATCACAATGTGTAAAAAATGCATTCTATAATAAAGATCTACTGTAAGTGAAAGTGGGAGCTAATGATTATCTATCTAAGTTAAGATTGATTCCTTTTTGATATTCATGACCCAAATGTGTAATGAAAAATTTCATGAAATAGGATGACAATCTATAGACTATTCGAGCAGATTTCACACCATATTGTTTATGAATGTGAGCAGATCATTCATAGACTGTAATGTATCTTCTAATTATTCAATTTATTTTTTATGTCATTCTTGTAGTTGATTGTTTGTACACATGTTCATATCCATTTCAACAAAAAGTAAATGGTTTATTGTAAACGAACTCATTTAATAGTATGTAGTTAAGAATCTTAATGTAAAAAAGTAAGCTATTTATCACATGTCGACAAACAAGTGGATAACTAGATAATCTCAACGAATTTGATTTCATGACTTAAAAGGATTTCAAATATACCAGTAGTATGGCAGTTACACATCAATGAGATTGAATGATAGTCAAGTAATATTATGAAAAGACTTAAAGTACAAATGTAAATGACTGTGATCCGAAGGTTAAGTACTGGTGCCTAGGTATGATCGTCTTAGGCTTTGAAATATAGCGGGTGCTAGGATTGAAGCTATTACGAATTCACTTAGTATACGAACGGAACAAAGACTTGTGACCGTAGACTAATAAACTAGCTATTTGATGCGTCCCAGCTCCGCTAACTAGAGGAAGAAGTCCAAGCTTGGAACGGGAAATTATATTCCGTAAGCCAGAAGCACTAGTGAATAATAACAGACACAAATCAGACGTATATATATACAGCATAAAACTGTCCTTAGGAAGCGTAGAAAAAAAATAGCATATTAAAAATACACAACGGACCAATAGCGCTAAAGATTCTCCCAAATGATAAATAGGACATGATGGTGAGAAGGGCGCTTTTGGCACGAAAACAAGGAAATTTAAATTTCCAAAATAAAATTATAAAATTAAGGCATTTACTAAGTGTGTTCTGGGGATCTAACATCCCCAACAGCGGTTCCAAAGAAGTGCGCATCCAGGATCTCTCCTGGCGAGGTTCGAACCCAAGACCCATCGGTCTCGCGCGCGAACACTCAGTGGTCTAGAGGTTGAGCAATAGGTTCTTGGTTCGAATCTCACGAGGCGGGATCGTGGATATGCACTGCTGAGAAGTCGCACAATAAGAAGTGCTGCCAAGATTTCCATAGTGTTCTAGCTTCAAAGAATCCCATACTTTGTTGTATAGTTTGTGAATTATATCTCCATTGCTTAGAACTGAAAATTTAACTATTTTGGTATTTTTTTGGTCATAAGATTTTTATAAAAACTTATGTGGTTTTTTCAATTCAACTTGTTTT